TCCGTCGCAACGTTCTTGCTACGACATTGTTCATCGCGGTTGTTAGGGTGAACGAAACAAAGTTCTTGAGCAATCTGACATTGTCGAGTTTCAGTGCGGGTCTTGACTTCGGTTGGGGTGAGGATGTATGTAAACGTGGTGGATGAAAGTGCATGTGCGGCTGTTGGCGTTTCCTTGTAGTCCGCCTATGTTGCAAACCCGGCTTTAGAGGCGGACCTGGGGGGAATCGAAGGGTGGGGGGGGGGCCCCCCCCCCTTGAAAGGCGGACCGAGACATAACCGGCCCAAACTCTTGCACTTGCACCGCTCGCCCCCTAATACTTGCTACGCAAGGGGGAACTCAGGTAGCTCACCGCTACCTACATGACACTACACTTTGCTGCACTACACTACATTACACTACATTACATTACACTACACTTCACAACACTACAGGTTACAACTACAACTACACAACTACAGTCCACTACAGTCCACTACACTAAATTACACTGCACTACACTCTCTACACTACACTTCACTACATTACACTACACTACACTCCACTACACTACGAATACAACTACACCTACCCAACTACATTCCACTACACTCCACTACACAACATGAAACTACACTACACTACCTTACACTACACTACACTCCACAACACTACAACTAAAACTACACAACTACACTCCACTACACTACACTACCTTACACTACACTACCTTACACTACACTACATTACACTACACTAGACTCCACTACACTACACTACATTACACTACACTACCTGCCGCTACACTTCACGACACTACTCTACACTACACTCCACTACCACCTACAACTACAACTACACTCCACTACATTACACTACATTACACTAACTACATTACACTGAATGACACTGCACAAAAGATAGACAGGTAGACAGCTAGACAGATAGATAGATAAGAAAGATAGATAGATAGATAGATTGATATGATAGATAGATAGATAGATAGATCGATAGATCGATAGATCGATAGATCGATAGATCGATAGATCGATAGATCGATAGAACGATAGATCGATAGATACGATAGATACGATAGATATGATAGATATGATAGATATGATAGATATGATAGATATGATAGATATGATAGATATGATAGATATGATAGATATGATAGATATGATAGATATGATAGGTATGATAGATATGATAGATAGGATAGATCTGAGATATGTAGAGATGACGCGTACTCCGAAACGATTAGGATAGGAATGATAGATATGAGCGATATGGATAGATCTGATAAGATATAAAGATATGTACGATATGATAGATATGATAAGATATGGCTAGATATGATAGATATTGGTAGATAGATAGATATGACCTAGATATTGCTCCTCCGATATGATAGTATGGTAGGATATGGTAGATATGTAGATTGATAGATATGTAGATATGATAGATAGATAGATACGATAGATAGATAGATAGATAGATAAGATAGATAAGATAGATAAGATAGATAGATAGATAAGCCATAGATCAGATAGACTAAGATAGAGAGATAGATAGAACACCCGATAGATGATAGCAAGATAGATTAGACCCCTCAGATAGATAGATAGGATAGATAGGATAGATAGGATAGATAGGATAGATAGGATAGATAGGATAGATAGGATAGATAGGATAGTAGGATAGATAGGATAGATAGGATAGATAGGATAGATAGGATAGATAGGATAGATAGGATAGATAGGATAGATAGGATAGATAGGATAGATATAGGATAGATATAGGATAGATATAGGATAGATATAGGATAGATATAGGATAGATATAGGATAGATATAGGATAGATATAGGATAGATATAGGATAGATATGATAGATATGATAGATATGATAGATATGATTGATATGATTGATTGATAGATAGATAGATAGATAGATAGAGAGATAGAGGGATAGAGGGATAGAGGGATAGATCGATAGATCGATAGATCGATAGATCGATAGATGGAGAGATCGATAGATAGATAGATAGATAGATAGATAGATAGATAGATAGATAGATAGATAAAGATTCGAAAATAGGATACGAGAGACTCCTAATAGATAAGATAGAAGATAGCACCCTTTCCTTTTAGATTGATAGATGATAGATAGAGTGAGATAGACTAGATTAGATAGCATAGATAGATTAGAAGATTAGATAGACCTAGATAGATAGAATAGCATAGACGGGAGAATGGATAGATGGATAGATGGATATGGATGGATAGATGGATAGATGGATAGATGGATAGATGGATAGATGATAGATGATAGATGGATAGATGGATAGATGGATAGATGGATAGATGGATAGATGGATAGATGGATAGATGGATGATGGATAGATGGATAGATGGATAGATGGATAGATGGATAGATAGATAGATAGATAGATAGATAGATATGATAGATAGATAGACAGGTAGACAAGAGTGAGAGAGATCAATCGCCTTTCAGTCCAGCAGTGGCTTCGCTCTGCCATCTCTGATTCACAACAACCAATCTCTCCTATAGGTTTCCTATTTTTGAAACTTCCGCCACCGCCTTGTGCGGTACTACTGGTATATCATGTACGATTTTTGAGACTACTGCAACGCAGTCCGTCGCAACGTTCTTGCTACGACATTGTTCATCGCGGTTGTTAGGGTGAACGAAACAAAGTTCTTGAGCAATCTGACATTGTCGAGTTTCAGTGCGGGTCTTGACTTCGGTTGGGGTGGGGATGTATGTAAACGTGGTGGATGAAAGTGCATGTGCGGCTGTTGGCGTTTCCTTGTAGTCCGCCTATGTTGCAAACCCGGCTTTAGAGGCGGACCTGGGGGGAATCGAAGGGTGGGGGGGGGCCCCCCCCCCCTTGAAAGGCGGACCGAGACATAACCGGCCCAAACTCTTGCACTTGCACCGCTCGCCCCCTAATACTTGCTACGCAAGGGGGAACTCAGGTAGCTCACCGCTACCTTTCGAGATATACATTATATATATATATATACCTGGAGAACCAATTGAATCCAATAGATATGTTTATTTCCTGTAATTTTTTTTTCTTCTCGATTTCAAACAATCCACTACGAAGCCCCAAAAAACACTCGAGACCCTGAAATCTTGACGATCACAGAGCCTGACAACAGAGAATGCCGAAGAATCACTTTTTTTCCGGGAATTTACCTTCCAAATCGGTTCAAATTCCGAAAAATTGACGGGTCCGATTGAAATGTAGGCCCAAACAGGCAGGAAACTACAAGATTTTCAAAATTGAGCCGAGTTGCGGAAAATTGCGCTCGGGTTGCGGAAACTGCGCTCGAGTTGCGCAATACTATTCCCACAAGAGCCACGTGCGGATACATTTGGCATTTCAGCTATAGATAATTGGTCTATGAAAAAATTGTGATTTCCATACCAAACTGTTACAGTATTTTACCAGAGGGTGTATCCCATCGTATCATATTATATCCCAAAACATATTCGGTTGGATGTTCGTTATTCAGTTGGATACTATTTCCACTTGGATATCCCCCTGTAGTTGTGACTATAGTTATTCATACCATTCATATAGTGGAACTCCTGCACCAGCTGGATGATCCCATTTTTTTGGCTCGGATCCAGACCATCCACAGAACAACACTGGTTGGTGGTATACCTACCATCCTGAAAAATGACGGAGTTCGTCAGTTGGGATGATGAAAATTCCCAATATGGAAAGTCTAATCAAATTCCATGGTTCCAGTCACCACCAACCGTTGTAGTTTTTGTATCATCACCATAGAATTTTCAACCAACAGGTACCATTCGTGGAAAATAAAAATAAATGGTAATTTAACATAACTATGGAAAATCACCATTTTTAATGGGAAAATCCACTATAAATAGCCATTTTCAATAGCTATGTAACAAATTACCAGAGGGTACATTCAATGGAGATGTTTGAACCCACCAAGGCGTTGAACGCCGCGGTGAAACACCGCCGGCTCCTCTCCGAACGCTGCCCTTCGTCCAGGACCCGGCGCTCCATGAGCATCTCAGAGATGCTGCGGCAGCGCAGCGCCAGGCCACTTTGGATCTCCTCCTCGGACGCGATCCTCGGTGCGAACGGCCAGAAAAAAGGGCTGGAGATGGGACGGGGGATGGTCTCCAACTTAATCACTTAGTCAATCATAGTTCATCATAGTTCATCATAGTTCAATATAGTTCATATGTAATGGTTAATCATCATTATTGCTTCTAATCTTAGGTAATAATGGTTAATGATTTTAATCATAGTTCATCATAGTTCATCAACAATATTGATGTTTAATGATGTTTAATGATGTTTAATGATTAACCATAGATAATCAACAATGGTTAATCATGGTTGATCATGGTTGACATTGGGTTAATAAATGGTTGGTTTGGGGTAACCTAGCAAAGAGATATGGTTTCCACCCATGGTTTAACCACGTTCCGAAAAGGATGAATGATGGGTTTTCGGCATCTGTGTTAGTTTACAGGAGGGTATACCATTATTGAATATTATTGATACAAGGTGGTACCCAATACTTAGAGTTAAGTTGGTTTATAAGTAGGTGAATTCTATATGGTTTCTCAGCGTTCTTAACGAGGTCTAGAATGGGAATACAACATGTTTTCTATAATGCGACCCATCAGTTTTTCGGTATATTTATCTCCATACCCACACCCATCTACTACGATACTTGATAAAGGTGCGTCATCTAGTGCTGGACCCGACACTCCATCAATTCTGACCCATTCTGACCCCTCCGTCATCCAGCTGAACCAACTGTCTGAGGTGACAATAGGTCAAGTCAAGTCAAGTCCTTGGGTACCCCAAATATCTGGCGAGGCAAAACGGTTTTGGACCCCAATTCATTGAGATGTGTCGAGAAAAGATCATGATACATGGGATGGCATGGATTTCCTCTCCTAAAAGATCCTATTGGGGATTCCCAAGTCTTGGACATTCCCAGTACAACAAAAAACATACCAAGTTTCACAAGATTTTTCTGTTCAATTTGAAACAACCCTGGTTTCACGGATGGAAACGGAAACAATCCTCAAGTTAGGATATTGGGTTTACAAAAAGTATCGATTTCCACTTCCACGATTGTTTCAACTAGGATCAACATTCGAATGAAACAAAACCATCAGGTCATAGCACCTTTTGTCTTGCGGCATGTTCTTCACCAATGTTGCTGATTTTGGGAAGATTCCGCAGTACGAACCAGAGTTAGTGGGCTTTGGTCGAACAGGCAGGTCATCACAAATTGTTAAATACCACCCAGAAATCCTGGTAAAAAGTAGGTCGTGTACACATATTTGGGATTCTTTGGGACCATAAATTGGGGTCAATATTGATGGGATTAGTGTTTATTGATGGGATTAGGTTTATTAGTGTTGTCCCATCCGTAATTATTTCATGGCGTAATATTGATGGGATCATTGATTATTGTTACCCTCTGGTAAATAAACAGTTCGACCCTGAATCCATAGCCTAGTTTTAATGGTTTCACCAATCTTCCAACCCCGACAACTACCAGGGTCTATGTTAATTTACTGGAGGGTGTATATATATGGGATAATCATCTTTATAATGGGATTATATACCAATAATAGTGGTTAATGATGGTCAATGGTTAATAATCACTGGGATATTTGTAGGTTTCCTAAGTCACGGGGGTACCCCATTTCATCATCCAGCTATGGGATTGTCGGATTTTCCATGATTTTCCCATGGAAATAGTCACCGAATCCTGCGAGCTTGGGGATCCCCCATGACTATGGAAACCCCCATTTGGGTTTATTATGGTTTATTCCTGCAACCCCAATTCAAATTACTTGTAGGGTTTATATACCCGGCCTGGTAAACATACAAAAAACTACGGAAAGATTCACCATGTTTAGTGGGTCAATCCGCAATTCAAATCACTCTCACTGCTTTTGGCCACTCACTTGGACCCAAGCATCCAGCTCGCCACCATGCTCTCCTCAATGGTCGCATCTGCGAAGGAAGAGCCGGTCGATGTTTGCCCCAGGTCCTTCCGGGAACTTCGGGGAATTCGCAAAAACCAATAGTGAAATCAGGCTTAGATGTGCTGCAAAAAGCGAAACTTCAAGCTGGTTAGCAGATGTTTCAGTACTAAAGTTGGCATATAAATACATGTATTAAAGTACTAAATTACCCATCCAGTCGGTTCAAAACCGGGTGAAGCGAGTAAACTCCCAGTGGCCATTCGATCTTTAGCACCGTTGGTACCGTCGGATTTCCCGAATGGATCCTGACATTCCCCTACATGTTAGTTAGTGTAATCACTGGTTGGTGGTATACCATTGTGGTTAATATACTAGCTGTTAATATAAGGTTAATATGAATGGTTAATATTGATGGTTAATATTGATGGTTAATGATGGTTAATCATAATATCTGGTGGTTGAGCCACCTACCCCATCCTGAATAATATAAGTTCGTCAGTTCGTCACTTGGGATGATTATTCCATTCCCAACTGTTTCTGGAAAGTCATAATCCATTCCATCGTTGTAGTTTTTGTATAATCACCATAGAATGATCAACCAACAGATACCAAACCATGGGAGTTGAAGCAACAGGAAAACCGGCCATAGATTGGAGTCTACTCCAGTCTAAAAACCCATTTCGAAGCACAAAGTCCGTAGTGTTGGCTTAAAAACTCATGGTCCATAAATAATCCTAATCCACAATTAATCATAGTACATACTGCTTTTCAAAAACAATGGTGAACTCAAAAAATCCTATTCATAATCCATGTTGGGTATATGGTGAATTGAAAACCCTCATGTCATATTGCTTAAACATCTTCAGAAATTCCCACCCAATCCAACACATCCAACCATTCCCTACATTCCCTACAAGCTGAGAACCCCAGTTACCCTCTAGTTATGTCAAAATAGCTATTGACAAAAAAAAAACACGTTATAGCTGATGTTGCTATTTAAAAAAATGTGATTTTCAATAGCTATGTTAGTTCACCAGAGAGTAACTGTAGGTGTAATCATAGTGTTAAATTCACCATATACCCAATCGTTCACCAAGTTATTGAAGCATCGACCTGACCTAAACCTTTTGAAGATTAACGACTTACCTAGACCTGGTTCAACTTACCTAAAACTGCTTGAGATTTCACTTATACTGCTTTTGCCCAATCATTAAGCAGTTGCGTCAACTTGTCCTCCTAAGGGTTCTCAGAGTCCCCAACAAAGTACAAATGATAAAATAGGTATAGTGAAACCCCCTAGTTCTTACCCCATCAAGGTATAACTTTCATGGCTCATGATGTCTTCCATGATCGCCAATAGCCCAAGTAGTATAGTTCTCCCTAAGATACCAGGGGAAATACCCCATGTCATTCCAAACAATGGTTAATATTGGTTAGTTCACAATATCCATTAATGATGGTTAATGATGGTTAATGATGGTTAATGATGGTTAATGATGGTTAATGATGGCTAATGATGGTTAGTGTCATAGTTTCACCATGTAATCCATCATAATCCATCACAATATCCATCATGATATCCTCCTCCATACTACTACAATTTGTTCACAATCCCCGTAGGAACATCCTTCATACCCCGTTTACGTAACCAAAAAGTCGGAGAATTTTCCCGAATTCTTCACCAATCAACCAGGGCTTAACTATATATTACGACAACACGGGGGTTCACACATACTGGTTGGTGGTTTCAACCCCTCTGAAAAATATTAGTCAGCTGGGATGACTATTCCCAATATATGGAAAAATAAAAAATGTTCCAAAGCACCAACCAATACATATCTATATAATATAGTTAACAAAATTACGAACATAACTATAGTTAATGGTATCAGGGTTTTCACCTACTGAGTAAGTTATATCCCTGGTTTTTTCAGTGGGATAAGTAGGGAACTAACCTATTTCTTAAATGGGATAAGCCACCAAGCAGGCTTTGTTCGTGTCCTCGAGGCATTGGTTAGATAATAATATTATAGCTAATAAGGTTAATATATATCTCTAATGATGTGGGTAAAACAATGCCATAAACCACCCATGACTGGGAATGGTTTAAAAAAACACCTATAAAAATGATGACTGGGGGATGGTTTATGGCATTGTTATACCCACAAATGATTAACATTAGCCATTATTGCCATTTATAGTTGATTAACCCATTAAAAATGGTGATTTTCCATAGTTATGTAAATGTTTACCAGAGGGTAAATATAGATTATAGCTATAATCATAATGTTAAATCCCCCATTTGCCCAATAAGGTTAATATTAATATTCCTCATAATAAGCTTCGTATTAATATCCCTAATACCCTCTGGTAAACATTTACATAACTGTGTAAAATCACCATGCCATTAATGGGTAAATCAACGAACTAAATGGCCATGTTCAATAGCTATGTAACAAATTACCAGAGGGTAATCCATCACAATATCCATCATGATATCCTCCTGGAACTATGGGATAGTTCACAATCCCGAAGAAAATCCAAAGACCCTCATATAATATCATATAATTGGTTGACATTAGCATCATATCATCTGGGTAAATTATGGTAATTCACTAACCTGAAACTTGCGGCTATCTTGGGAATGTTTCCCCGAATCCTAACCATGATGATAGTGAGGGAGAACAGTGAGGTCGTGATGAAATTTACCCAGATAATTATATATACAATATCCCCATTACAGTAAATCCCATTGATGGTGTATATATATATATACATATAGGATTATGGGGTCATTATAATTTACCCAGATATCATCATCATATCCCTTATGTATATATATATGTTAATACAATCACCGTGTACTGTGGATGATTCTGGCATTGCCAATCTTAGATAGCATCATCATCATCGTCATCATCATCATCATCTCCATCACCATCACCATCACCATCATCATCATCATCATCGTCATAATCATCATCATCATCATCATCATCATCATCATCATCATCATCATCATATCATCATCATCATCATATCCCTCATATCATATCATCCATCATATCCCTCATGGTATCCTCCAGGTACACGACATCTTTCATCATTCGAAGCTTCACGCGATGGCCCTGCTGGGACACCGCCAGACGTGCCGCACACGCAGCCACCAAGCGACCGCGCAGCTGCGACTCCTCCATTCGGGGGCAACCCAATATGCTACAATGGGTACCCTCTGGTAAACTAACGTAGCTATGGAAAATCACCAATTTTAATGGGAAAACTCACTATAAATGGCCAGTGATAAGTTGGTTTATAATACCCATTACCCTCTGGCAATTTAACATAGCTATTGAAAATGGCCCAGTCGAAATAGTGGATTTACCTATTCAAAATGATGGATCTTTCCATAGTTATGTGGCTGTTTACCAGGCCGGGTAACCCTTTATCGCTGGATGATTTTTATTTATGGTATCCCGTGGTATCCAGGTATCCCCATTTTTGGAAACCTCCAGATGGTGACTTAAACCCAATCAAAATGATCCAAAATGATTTTGGTGGTGAAACGTGTTTGATTTAAAACCCAACCACAAAAATATGCTTATGATGTTGTTTATGGAATTTTGATTCAACCCAGCCAAAATGAGTTTGTTTATGAACATGAATTTTGCTAAGTTGGTAAATACAACTTCAGTAACTCTTGGGTTAATAACAGATATGGCTATGAGTCAAAACCCTGGTACCCTAGGTACCCTAAAATAGCTGGTTAACGGATGGTTGTGCCTTCAAATATGGTAGTAGGTTTTGGCCATCCCCATTTTTTATATATCGAACTAGTTAGTATACCATATCTATATATCTATTATATGGATCACATACTACCATAAGATGTTTTACCATATGATATATGGTAGTGGCCATCGAGCATCACGTGGTTTTCGCATCACGTGATGTTCAGATTCTTCGCAGCTGGGCTTTGATGGGCCATGGAGTTCGTGACAACTGGTTAGTAGATAGCTTATACCCTCTGGTTATTTAACATAGCCATGGTATAGATGGCCCATAGAAATAGATGGTTTACCTATTAAAAATTGTGATTTTCCATAGCTATGTTAGTTTACCAGAGGGTAAATCAATTTAACCCGTTACTACATCCATTCATCCCATTTGTAGGATTTATATATATATAATATATCAATTAATTCATGCCAAGAAACATAATAATACTAGCCGACCTATAAAAAATGGTTGGGGATCTCTTAGTAGCTCCTTGGCCCCCCTTTTTCTGTTGAGAATATGGATACCATTGGATACCAGTACCCATAAGAGCTCCAAACTGCTCTCTCTGTTCACCACCAGATAACAATACTCAACCATGGCTCACTCTCTGTTAATTTAAGATAGGTTATGGAATTTTCAAAAAGGTAAATCATCGAACTAAATGGGCCATCCATACCATCATTGTTTCAAATTATCAGAGGGTATAAATGCTCCCACCAGCTATAAGCTGGTTTATAACTTCCATTATCCATTATAGATATTTCTACTACCACAAAACCCATAGTTGATTTAACTGTTGGATTGAAGATGTCTTAGATTCCATAAATCAGTACCATGATTCACCATAGCTGCCATATCTACCATAAACCCATTATCTAGTACAGTTGGTGTTTATGTAACCCCCACTTTCCATTGGAGATCTGCATCTACTACCATAAACCCATACTTTTGCCATCTTTTACTCATCCCAGAGGGGTACCCACCTCGAACGACAGCTTGCCATCTGCCGTCAGCGACTGCAGTGACACGGCCATGCCCTGGCCCTCCGGCTGCGTCAGCTGCGTCACGGCAGCCACTGTACGGCAGCTCCGCATCAGCAGGTGCTGCCGGGTAAACAAATGCAGCAACAGCCTCGCTTCGATCAACATGCGCTGTTTTACCCTCTGGTAAACTAACATAACTATGGAAAATCACCAATTTTAATGGGAAAACTCACTATAAATGGCCATTTTACAGTAATTGGAAATTGTTGGATTGTTGGGATGTATCCTTTGGTAATTTGTTACATAGCTATTGAAAATGGCCATTGAAATAGTGGATTTTCCCATTAAAAATGGTGATTTTCCATAGCTATGTAACAAATTACCAGAGGGTATGTTCTTTTAATCCCCGGACATCCCCATGAAATATTAGTGTAATCCATATATTTATCCATGGTTTGATATGATTTGTAATCACATATTTCATGGGGAGAAAAAAGGATCACCTTTACCAGGGATCTTGGTGGGGATATCATGGGGGTATGATGGGGATATTATAGGGCAAATTTGAGGATATAGTATATTAATTATATTATATTATATATTAATATCTACAAGTACGTATGTAATTCACATAAGCAACAATCTCTTTGATACCCTGCAAGAACAAAAATCCTTCTTTAGCTACCTACTATGTACCCAAATTTGATTAAATTTCCCACTTTGGATCATTTTGGCGTAACCCGATTTTTGGACAACAGCATTTTGTGAAGTGGGCTCTGAAACCGCCAGGTTGCAATGGGATGAAGACCCCATACACGAAGCTGGAGCTGTAGGCCACCACATCCACCCACAGAGCTTGCCACGAGTCATCTCTACAACGCAAGAAAGGCATGTGCAATCCTGGTTGGTGGTTGACCTACCCCTCTGAAAAATGATGGAGTTAAAGTCCCAACTGAATGGAAAAATAAAAAATGTTCCAAAGCACCAACCAGAATCGAAATGCGTGTTCTCCCAGGGGCTCATCAGCGCTATCAACATATTGGCAGGTTAGGAGATTGGCACAACTTGAAACCCCACCGATGAAGAGAAGGGTCAGCACCTGCCACGGATCTTGATCATCGGAGATCCGTCACTAAGCCAAAGGTCACCCCCACCCCAATCGCCACAGTATATGGGTACTGTCTGTTCAGATAATCTACTGTAGCTTTTCCCACTCCAGGGATGTTTTCAATCGCCACTTTTTGCCCGGAGGTTGTTGGTGGTTTATCTTTTGGGCCAAGAATCATGGAAATCAGTGGCCAACCAGCACCATTCTCTCTGTGTTGGGGGCGATGCCCGAAAAATATCTGGGTCTTGAGCTGAAAAAGGGATTCCATGACAACTTTCCAACATCCTGAAAGGATGCTGCGCCAATTCTTGAAGCTGCACCTTGAGTGCTGCGCTAATTCCTTTGGTGGGATATGGAAGTTCCAAAATGCCACATGCAGCCAGAATCAGCAAAGGGAGCAAGGGCGCAGCCAGTGCACCAAAGAAACGCACCCTGGCGCCATCATAGCTGCACTGCAGAGCCATAGAATCCTGACAAACCAAAAGGACACAGGGATCATACTGCTGTGGAAGAAATCCAAATCACCAGTTGAAAACGGTGCTTTCTCTCGTTACTTTTAGGGTATCTTCACCATCCAAGCAGGATTTCTGAAGCCATTCAGTCCTGGTGACGATTTCGGACAACTGAGGTTAAAGTTAAGCGACTTAAGCGCAAGGAATGACCCAAACAGCTGACCCAACGTGATTCCAAGCTTTAGAAAAGACTCTTCTACCTGTACTGATGTCCCAATCACTTCGGGAATTGATGGGAGCGCCGGGACGGCTGTGTATAGCAGGGCAAGAAAGTATGTACCTGTGACATCCTATGACCAGGGGAACGTAGAGACACGTCTCGCCAGACCGGATTAGGGAACCTATCCTCGAAACGATCCCAGACTATGGGAAAAACCGAGTTAAAATGAGCTGTACATGATTCTTCTGAGAACATCGCAGATCACCTCATCTAAGTCATAATATAACTAATATAACTCTTCAAAAATCTGTGTGTTTTGTCTTATTTCGTTTTCATAGGCCACCTATGGTCACCGTCCAATCTTTGCCGCTACATCCAAAACTGCTCCAGTAATTCCAGTAGTCATCGAAAGCAGGTCCTTGAAAGCGTTGAGACTCAGCTGCAACGTCTCGACATAAGGCAACTCCCAAAAAGTGCTAATCCACGAGTTGCTTCCTTCCTGGCCAGCCGGGGGAAGCAACTTCTGATCGCCAGGAAAACATGACAATAATATATATATATATATGATCATATATATTCCATTCATATGCTGCTATTTGATGCTATTTGATGCTATTTGATGCTAAATTTGATGCTATTTGATGCTATTTGATGCTATTTGATGCTATTTGATGCTATTTGATGCTATTTGATGCTATTTGATGCTATTTGATGCTATTTGTGTCAATCTTGAAGACCTTAGAAATATCCAAAACCCACTTAGCATTGGTGATTTTTTCGACCATCCCTCTTCAGGTATGTTCTCTGCATTCCAAGCAGCGGTGTCCTTCTCGTGACCTTCTTCACGTGACAACGCATCTGCAGATCTCTTGCCAACAAATGACAGAACAGCCAACGCCGCCCATAGCCTGAACATTGCTGTGCGGACATAGCCAACACATGCGACCATGGGACCTTTTTTGGCCGCAAACGTCCCATTGTGTCCCATTAAACCGCCACCCAAGCACTAGACTATCCGAGGATGATGTCCAACAACAATTCGAGGGTTATGTTCAAACATGTTAATTCTTCTCAATTTCAACATGTAAATGTACCAACCCTACAAAATGCCAGGAGTGGTCAGGGTCCCTCAAACGTTGGGACTTAGTTTGCGTTGTGTGACTTTGTTACACTTTGTTCAGTACCTTCTTTTTGGTGCGGCTTGACATACGGACCGTCACGCGTCAATTTTCTTTCAAACAACTCGCCACATCATAGACTCACGTAGACTCTCAATCAAAAAAGAAAGTCAAAAACCCAAGATTCCCAACATAGATGGGATTTATGGATCATCATCACTGTCATCCCCCAATTGTAGTGATCATAGGTGTTGATCCATCTCCAAATCATCAGCTTCACCAAGGGGCTGACAGAGTTGCAGTAGCACCGGTGCTTGTGCCTTTGCCAAGTCCTGCAAGACCTTCCACTTCAATGCCCTCGAGGGCGGCGCGGGCGCGGTTGCCGCAGCTGCCGCACTGCGTGAGATGAAGAGGTAGGCCACGACCCCAACGAGAGAAAGCAGAGCCGCCGCCACAATCGACCAGAAAAATAGGTTGGGTGGCTCCTGGATCCGGAGGGACGAACTTCCCGGCGATGTTTTGGGGGATGATCTGTGGATGGGGTACCATATTTTCAGACAAACCCAGATTTGTTCAGTGTTTTTTTCGGGAATTGTTGGCTTGCTGCTCGTCCCCAAAAGGGACTCAGCCGTAGCTAGCTGGGGAACCATTGAAACATTTACCAACTTCAAGGTTCGTCGAGAGAGATAGTTCTGGTGATGGCCCAGTTTTTGAAATGGAATTACCCAACTTTGGCAGTTTTAGCGCCACACCCAAAAGGAACGAAAATCAGTCTACATGTCAACTGCATACTCCTCAAAGAGCTTAATTTGTAGCTGGCTCGTGCATTTTCATGCATTTTCCCGCTGTGCATAGCCAGAAACTAACCCACTACCTCACCATTCCCAATCTTCAAAACCCTGCAACGAATTAAAATGAATTAACATGTTAACTGGTTAGTACTAGCCACTACTAGTACATATTCCATCATATTCCCATCTATACCCCAAAAATTTGCCATACTACCCATCCAGTCGCTTTCTCCTTGCTGCACGCTTCGCAGGATCCTCTTACGGATCGATATCCAGCTGCACAATCCACACAGAGCGGCCCAGCAAATCCCGTGCTGCAGTTCTGGCTGTTGCATTGGTCAGCTGAAAGGCACAGGTAGACCTAGCCATGGTCCAAAACATAGGGAGTTAAGCAACAAATACCCCTGGTAAATAAACATAGACCCTGAAAATCACCCATTTTTAATGGAAACTAGTCTTCCAACCCCTATCTGCCAGGGTCTATGTTAATTTACCAGAGGGTAAACAGGTTTTTTTTCATCCATGTGAAACAATCCTAGATGTAAAGGAAATGATAGAACAACGAATGTGTTGAGACAAAGTAATTTGGTAGACACCCACTGGTTGTTTTGCTAGAACCTGTTTTTTTTTGGGGTGAAACATTTTGAAACCACCGACCATTTCGAGACGACCATTTCGGCAGGCAGGCAGGCAAAGATGAACAAAATCGTTGGGCCGCAAAGCGTTTCAAGCGGAAACCCTCTGGTAATTTAACATAGCTATGGAAAATCACCATTTTAAATAGGTAAATCAACTATTTCTATGGCCATTTTCCATAGCTATGTAAGAAATTATACCAGAGGATACATCCCAACAATCCAACCATTTCCAAATCCAAAAGAACACGGACCACCATCGGTTCTGTCTGTGATCTGCCTGGAAAAAAACGGTTGGGCCATTAATTCCTCAAGAAATTCTGCGGATCTTGGCGGTCTCCAACGTCCTGAGAAAAGTAAAGGCACTTTGGATCATCATCCCAAGTAGGATGCAAAATAAACCATGTTTAAAACCATCAATCAGAATTCAGAGAATTCTTGCTCGAGTGCATAAATTCAAAAACTGTTCACATTGAAAGATTTTCCGGGATCTAGGGTTTCCACTAGTCTACTCATGGGGAAGCTGAACTTACTTAAAGGACGTTGGAGCAACGCTGACAAGTGATTGTTAAATATTGTTAATCTCAATATCATCAACCAACACTGAGTATTCATAGTATTTCCCATTGCTATGTTAGATTACCAGGTCCGTTTTCTACCTCAGTTCTATGGTTACCCGCGATATCCAATTGTTGCTTCATTATCCCCGTGTGTTACCTAGGTTTCCTCCTATGGATCCACCAATTTCAATCCTTTTCCCCATGAGATAAGGCCATTAAAAGCACCATTTTGGTTCACCCATAGCTTCCATGAGAACTCCATCATGTGAGCACTGTTCAATTGTCCTGTGTCATTTCATGATACGGGTTGGTTAAAAGGGATTGCCATAAAGAATAGTGATAAGCCCCAATAATTATATCGGATATGATCAGTTACCACAATCGTCAATAATTATGATAATATCAACAATAAACCCCATAATCAGTAATATCAGATATAATCAGTAATTACTTCATTATCATGGTATCACAATCATTATATACCAATAAACCCCATAATTCAATATTACAATATTACAATTACACTAGTTACAATTGTCCTACATCTCATTGGTGGCAATCCCCTATCATCAATCAACCATACATCATTCATCAATCCTCTTCCCATATGTTGATGTGTCAAACATGTAAAATCTCACGAAACCAACCCAAGAATCATCAACCACCAGAAATTCGCAGTTCATAATTTATCCTGCAATATCATATTTTAAAAATGGTGGATTCTAGTACATCATCATAAACATCATTATCAATATGCACTACTTGAATGTACTACTTTTAATATTGATATCAACATCCAACCAATCATCAACCACCGATTTTTCCCTTCCGCACCTTGGAGGAGTTCGACTCCATCCGCACGTAGCCCGCTTTGGGTGTCGCCAGCCAGGTGCTCATCCCCGGCTGCGGGCACTGCAGCTTCAGCTCTTCGCACTCCAAGCAGTCTCCAGAGATACCCAGGGCAAAACTGTGGCCTCCCAGGATTAAATGGTGGTTTAATGGGATTTAATGGTGATTGGTTGGAGGTTTAATCAACAAAAAACAGGGATGTTAGTAGATATACCCTCTGGTTATGACATTCCCAGTTTGCCATGGAAAGATCCACCATGCTATTAAAAACGGTAAACCATCTATTTCTATGGGCCATGGCTTCCATGGCTATGTTAAATAACCAGAGGGTAATATTGAAGAAAATTAAGTTACAAATCAACATGTTAAATATATTGTTTTACTATTATATATATATATGTAAATTGTTACCTGTGACTAATATGTTCACCATGTGCGTTAATAGTCATACAGATATAGCAACCTAAATAAATAGAAAAGTTGGACAGCTGAGAATTATGAGGTGAATATCATCTATACCATCCTGAAAAAGACTGCTATTTGTTTGGGGACACATATTGTGTATATATATATAGAGTCCACATAAATGGCACCTGGTTTTTCTGTGATTTAATGGTTTACATTATCCAAATATTCACCACTTGTCTAGTTTTTTGATGATATGTATGGTTAACATGACTGAACATCCTCATTACTTATCCGTGGTTTGTATTTATGAAAAATAGTTCGATGAATTATATGTAAATACGTATATAGATATATATATATATATAAGTACGTACGTACGTACGTACGTAATGTATGTATGTATGTATGTATGTATGTATGTATGTATGTATGTATGTATGTATATATATATGTGTATATTTGTGTATGTGTGTATGTGTGTATGTGTGTATGTGTGTATGTGTGTATGTGTGTATGTGTGTGTATGTATGTATGTAATGTAATGTAATGTAAGGTAATGTAATGTAATGTAATGTAATGTATGTATGTATGTATGTGTATGTATGTACGTATGTATGTATGTAATGTAATGTAATGTAATGTAATGCAATGTAACGTAACGTAACGTAATGTAACGTAATGTAATGTAACGTAATGTAATGTAATGTAATGTATGTGTGTATGTGTGTATGTATGTATGTATGTATGTATGTGTGTATGTATGTATGTATGTATGTATCTATGTATCTATGTATCTATGTATCTATGTATCTATGTATCTATGTATCTATGTATCTATGTATCTATGTATGTATGTATGTATGTACGTATGTATGTATGTATGTGTGTGTGTGGATGTGTGGATGTGTGTATGTGTGGATGTGTGGATGTGTGGATGTGTGTTTGTGTGTATGTTTGTATGCATGTATATGTATGTGTATATGTATGTGTACGTGTGTATCTATGTACATGGTCCACATATGGGTCGTATGTTAATATTAGGAAATTCCCCAAATCACACATGATTTTGGAGGTTGATGTATTGTCATCAGCCACATGTCTTACCAGAAACGGGGGGAAGCCCCCTTTCTATTTTTGGCCGTCCATCAATGCGGAACATGGTTTTACGAACGACGGTTCGTTTTGGGGTACTGTACTATTGTCCAGCAACAATTGGGTCCAAATTAGTTGTGTGGTACCTCTCATTACCAAGAATCAGTTCAATAATCGAATGAGACAAAGATTCCCTGGATTAATCTTATTACATTATCACAACTCTTGTTGACACGACATGACACGACCATCACAAATGAGGATGCAACCAATAAACTGCTCTAAGAATGGGTATGTCTAGCTTAATCATGGAGTAATGTGGGTAAAACAATAATAAACCATCCCACAAATAACTATAGGTGGTATGGTTACAATTCCCAGTCGACTGGGTGGTGTATGACATTGTTTTACCCACAAAAAATTGGGATATGTCCTGGTAGGTTCTTTTTTGAATCGACCACCGGTTTCCACCTGATTTGGGCCATCCACGGGGTCTTCAGTGTTTCGTTTCGAACAGCAATTGCGGATCCAATGGAACAACAATAAAAAAAACTCATCCTGTTTCATCTGTTTCCATTCATTTCCCATCTGTGATATGACTTTGGGGATCTTTGGGGCACCAATATCAATATATCTCCATGAAAAATGCCTCTCCCGTTGCGACTCCCCGTTCCCATGGAGTGAAACGGAGTGAAACCGAGCGTCGGCATCCACACCTCAGTGAAACATCATGGCAACCTCCAGGAACCGGATACGAATCCGAAAAAATCTTGGTGGCTCAATGGGAGATCTTCAGGATCCAATTGATGGAGGTACGTTAGTACCATATTTTGGGCCATATTTTGTGGCTGGATGAACATCAATGGAGTACCCTGAGTACCAATCCGCTGGTTGATCATGACTGATTTGCCTCTCCGGTGGTTGACCATTTTTGGGCCCCCATTTTAAAGGTAACACATCCACCACGAGAACTGCCTTTTGGTTGGCTTCGCCGAGGAACTGCAAGGTCTCATTCCGGCGAAAGATCTCTTGTCCCGACGGACAACTGCAGGCATCCGGAGACGTTGAGGCCAATGGGGACTTGCTGTCTTTCGGACATTTCCTGGGCTCGGAAAATGAGAAATTTTAGGGGAAACCTTCCAGACATGAAAAATGGTGATTTAATATGATTTAATGGGATTTTATGGTGATTATAGGAATTCAATCAACCAAAAAACCGGGATGTTAGTGGATATACCATCTGGTAAACGTTTCCAATACGTTTACATAGCTATAGAAAATCACCAGTTTTTATGGGTAAATCAACTATAAATAGCCATGTTCAATAGCTACGTTAAAAATTATCAGAGGGTACCAGAAAAATATGTTTTATAACGCACAATCCGTCTAGAAATGGATGATTTGGGGCTAGCGTTTTAGGAAACCTCTTTTTTTCCCTGCAGCTTAATCAAACATGGGAGGCTGGAAAATCCACCCTGTATACTTATTAGTTGATTTTCCCAGCGAACCAAACCTCTATTGAGTTCGGGGATTTTCAATGGCACCATGTTTGCCTGAGGGTAAACGGATAGAGGACATGGATTTTGAAGAATCATCCGCTGGTTAAACTGGTTAAATCATGAGACATATTTATGTTGTGTTTCCCTGGGAAGCGGCTTGGAAGATGAGAAATTTGGACCAACGGACCAACGGAAGATGTTCAAAAGTGGTCTGTGCTCTACAATGTGGGGCCCCCAAACGTTATGTTTGTTGGTTTATAACCCCATCTAACTATGGTTATAAGTACCATAAACCCTATAGCTAGATATTGTAGTTATGTTCGCCAACTTAGCTATCGACTGGGGGCCCCACATTGTACATCCACTGGTTGATAATCATATTTTCTCTCCAATGCAATGGCCGGTTTGGAAGACTACCCTCTGGTAAACTAACATAGCTATTGAAAATGGCCATTTATAGTGAGTTTTCCCATTAAAATTGGTGATTTTCCATAGTTATGTTAGTTTACCAGAGGGTATGCCCCATTTTCCGACACTAGCAATTTCCATCTATAGATACTGAGGTTTCCACAAAATGCCAATCTGCACAATAAAATGACCCAAATGGGGGTCAAAACCCTGGTACCCTGGTGAAGACCAAAATAGCTGGCAAAGGGATGTTCATCTCTCCAAATATTGCATAATAGATCTTGATTCCTCTCCAAATAGTACAATCATCCGTAATCATGGGATCCTGAAAGTGATGGATATTCTCTCTACTCCAGGATCATGAAACAAACACAATCCGAAAATATCAAAAGAAGGTGGCGGCAGGCCGTGTTGGCGAATCACCCGGGGATGGTCATCACATCATGGGGATTCGCCAACTCATGGCTTCACCCAACAAAACCTATGGGTGCAATGGTATGGGCATGGTTCAGACAAACCCTCCAACAAAAAACCCTTCAAGGGATTGCCCTTGTTCCATACTTCTATCCCATACTTCTCTTGTTTTTGCCCCGTTCACATGTGAAGCCCATCCAACATACCCATCGAAGTCATCGAAGTTAGGAGTCTTACATGTGCTGTTGCTCTCAGCATTGAAGAAATTCTCTGGGCACTTGACGCACTTCGTCCCATTCCCCTCCCAACCTGGGGGAATGTCGGCCGCCATGCGCACTGAACGTGACAAAAACATACAAAAACCACGTTAAGGAGAAACACACAATCCAATAAGAATCCAAAACAGTGATGATCAAAGTAGGTAATGACTCCAGGGTAAAACCTCAGCGGTATCTTGTCACGCCATAATGAACGGATCACGGGATCTCACCCAGAATGAAACGGACGCGGGAAAATGTTTTTGTATTACGTACGGGTGGCCAATTTGTGTGATTTCATGGAGTTTCATGTCAGTATATGTTTTTTGTTAAAGAAAACTATCTGTTGACTTGATTTGCACATCTGTTTTTTAATTTAAATTGCCACTTGGAAACCTCTCAACTGGGAGATCTTGTTTACAGGGACATCTGCGTGCTGCATAATTTGACCCTGTTTCATATTGGGAACTGAACATATGGCTGAAATCAGCAATCTTCCGGATGGATTCTGTGCCCTCACTTGAACATAGCTATTGAAAAATAGCCCATGGTAGATGACTTACCTAGTGAACTTGGTGATTTCCACTTCGCAAACTGTGAAAAACTACCAGAGGCTACCCCTATGCCCATGGCAGCGGATCAAGCCCACATCGCCACATTGCCTGGCAGGCATTGACACAGGACATCTGGCAGAAATCGGTCCGGAGACACGCGGAGCTTCTCATTCAAGACTTGGTGGCATTCCTTGGCACCGAAAGAAAAACTGCTCGACATTGTGAGACATAGAATGACATAGATATGGGGGTTTCCATAGTCATGGGGGTACTGCAAAATAGATGGTTTTAATGGAAAATCAATCTAGAAATGGATGATTTGGGGGGATTACCACTGGTCAACTAAGAGTTTGCTATAGAACATCACTTTTTATAGTAGGTAAATCATAGAACTAAATGGATCATGGCTTCCATAGCTATGTTAGTTTACTGGAGAGTAGATTGTGGTCTGGTTCTGCTAGGATGAGGTAGGGCTTTGCATCGCAAATTGGAAGTCGTAATATAAGCTCGTCAAACATCCCTGTTTGGATTGCTAACATCATTCTGATTCTAGAGCAAATTAAAAATGGCCCCACTCTGCATGCCAGCTCTTTTCCACCCTCTCGCAAATATCCCAACGGAATGTTTTGGGGAGCTTGGACTGCAACGCAACCACCAGGTTGCCCCAGTTCAAAAGAAGACTGGATCAAAGGTAGATGAGGAACATAATAACAGGACCAAAAACACAGGAATTTGACAGAATCCAAACGTTTCAATCAAACAAATTCTATGACTTCCTCTCTAAACCACCACACTTCATACCTGGGAAACTGCTTTGAAGACCAACATCTAGCGATTTACTCATGCAAAGTCTTTTCAGTGTCCTTGAGGGAAGGGTATACTGAGGTCAACACCATTGAAGTCCCATCATATTCCAGTAATTCCCGGTATATATCATATTCATATCCCCACTAAAAACCACCATGTTTGATGGTTCAATCACCATTTTTCATGGTTACATCAGCATTCTTCGGCGCTGGGCCCACCTGTGGGGTTCGCGGAATCTTTTCTTCGCTGGCCCAGCATTGCTGATTTTGGGGGAACCCTGGAGGGAGAATGACATGGGACCTGAACTGGTTGGTGGTTTCAACCCATTTGAAAAATATTAGTCAGTTGGGATGATTATTCCCAATACATGGAAAAATAAAAAATGTTCCAAACCACCAACCAGTTTTGAAGCCCCATCAAAACTGCAATAGCAGAACAATGAAGCGTATGGAAGCGAACAAAAACTTATCGGAGTCGGAAGCCCCATATGTCAAGGCTCGTAGCCTTTGGCCGGCTTGGACATCTCGATGTAACTGGACATGCGAAGATGTCTGCCATCCATCAGCTCCCTGGCGGGGAGGTGATCGCTTGTTGGATGGCCAATCAAACAGACGTCAGTTTGAAATGGATAAGCTACCCCAAACTCACAAACATATATAGATCTCGAGTGTCAATCATGGATTCATTTTTAGCCCGGCTGCTGAAAACTGGATGGGTGCCATTTTTGTAGCCAATTGCAAGTATTTGGGGAGAACCCCCAAATTAATCAACTAGGCTTTATGAATCCCGGGACACCTCAGAATATCTTAGAATCCAGTTGTTCGTGGATACATCGGCCCCCTGGAAGTTTTCTCCGGAAAAATCGTGCCATACGAGTACCAATTTGCATCCAGAAACTTAGATTCGTTTGACAGCAATTTGAGGGCTCTCTGGTGTCGGCTGGTTTCTACCAAGGACATCACCTACACTGGAGGTTTCAACATGTTTCTTGTGGTTTTCTTATGCTTTCTAGCGGGTGTCTTATGCTGCACCCTGGAATGTTGCGATGTCAAGGCTTCAAACAGCCCAACGCAAGACGAAAAGATCAATACGTTGAGGAAGCGGGATGAGTGCCGTTGCCCATCAACTACTGTACCATCTATCTGCTCCATGTATGGTATATTCACCCCCATTTGGGTCATCTTTGGTGTAAATGGTGATGACATGTTGATAAATATTCCATACATATCACACATCATATGGATACCATATTTCACTCACCTGAAATAAGCTCTCTTCTTGGCATAGTTACCCTTACATTCACCATGAACTTCCGGTGACATGAGGCTCCGTGGACCGTCCTTGCAGGTTCTTCGTCTAAAAGTGTGGAGTTTTGGAGGTCCACATAGACACCCTGCTCAATGACCTGAAGGCAGGATCTCATCGTGACAGAACAGTGACAGTGATGCACTGTTCTGTGGGAAAAGCAACCAAGGGGGGTGAAAACCACTTGGTGCAGCCCTGATTTTTTGATGTACTCAACATGACTTGTTGATGGTTTTTCAACCCATGCCATGAATACAGTCAATAAGGATTAATCAGGATCATCATCCTAGAAGGCATGGAAGTCAAAAACACTTGAAACCATCAACAAGATGCGTATGCGAATCGGTGCTTCCCGTCGTGGATATGTTTAAATAGTTTATTCGCTCCAGCTGCTACACACTAACCACTTGTTCAGTGGAATTGTGGAATAACCCCAGATACATGTATGTATAACATATGTATAACATATGTATAACATATGTATAACATATGTATAATAATGTATAATAATGTATAATAATGTATGATAATGTATAATAATGTATAATAGTGTATAATAATGTATAATAATGTATAACAATGTATAATAATGTATAATAATGTATAATATAGATATATAATAATATATGTATATCTATATGCGTATGTATATCTATATGTGTATGTAAATATATATATATATCCTGGTATTATCAAGCGTTTACTGGAATGCACGTCCAAAAACACGTCTTGCAAATCACGGCCGCTTTTTCATCACGCCTGTTTCAAGACCTCCGGGGTGAGGCCCACGTTTGGATTGTTCGACAGGTCCAGGACAATGAGATTCGGGGGCATGGCCTTGGATCTCGCCACTGGGACCCTGGGATTTCCCAAGCTATATACCCTCTGGTAAACATACAAAAAAACCATTGAAAATGGTCATTTATAGTGGATTTTCCCATTAAAAATGGTGATTTTCTATAGCTATGTTAAATTACCAGAGGGTATATACTGGTTGGTGGTTTTAACTGAAGGGTAAACCATTGATGTTCATCCCATGAAAATGGGAAAAACAATGGAATAACCATTATGATATCATCCCATAAAAATAGCCATAATAATTGGTTGGTGGTGCATTTTCACCATCTTGAAAAATGATGGAGTTCGTCAATGGGAAGGATGACATCCCATATATAAAATGGAAAATATATAATGTTCCAAACCACCAACCAGTATATACATATATATGGATATATATATATATATATGGCGTGTAAAACACTTAATTACCAACTGGTGTGCACATCCAAGTATAGTAAGACTACTAAATTGCGCAAGTTCCACTGTTCCACTGTTCGATATTGCTATAGCGTCTATATTGGATGTATGATATGATTGGTGGTGTATTGACGTTTGGTACAGCCTGGCATCATGGCGCTGAGCTGCATCCACCCAGGTGATGTTGTTGTTCTGCAGGGCCACCTTTCCTAGTGAGGTCCACCTCGGCGTGACCAAGTTACCGGGGTCGATAGAAGAATTTGGACGATTCGACACACATATCTATCTACCGATCTATCTATCTATCTATCTACCGATCTATCTATCTATCTATCTATCCACCTACCGATCTGTCTATCTATCTATCTATCTATTTATCTATCTATCTATGCACTTAATACATGTATGTATGTATGTATGTATGTATGTATGTATGTATGTATGTATGCATGTATATATATATATATATATGTATGTATGTATGTATATATATATACACATTATTATACGCAAATTATAGAGGGACCGAGGGACCATCTCATCATCCCAATGGGAATGGGTCAGCGCTACGCAGGGAATTATTGTTGGGAATGGGGAAGGTAGAGTTTGATTCATCTACCCTCTGGTAATTTAACATAGCTATTGAACATGGCCATTTATAGTGAGTTTTCCCATTAAAAATGGTGATTTTCCATAGTTATGTTAGTTTACCAGAGGGTAAGATGTTTGAACAATGGAATCTGCAAACGATGTTTGATTCATCTAAGTATTGATATACTATTATTGATTCATCTACTAAGATGTTGATCATCTACTGGATGGAACAATTGACAAAAAACATCTTAGTAGATGGAACATCTTCAAATTGATTCATCTAAGATGCTTGATTGGGGAATGTTCCATCAACTGATGATTTTTAACATATTAGAATAGTTTGGAGAGCAGAAACTGCCAAATTTTTGTTTGTGGATGTTTTTCGAATTTGAAGCCACCACCCAGAAATGCTCGAACTAGGTGGTAGAAACTAGATCGAATACATATGCTTTCAAACAGCTTATTCAGAAACCTTCAGTGTTGATGGAAATACGTTGCTAAAGGAAACCTTTGCCAAGAAAAAACAAAGTACCCTCCGGTAGTCAGGCAGAGCAATGGACAATCCCTTATGTATTGATCATTTAGCCATTGAAACATCCAGTTAGCCAGTTAGATTCGAGATTTCCCAGCCTGCCATATTTGATTGGGTACCCTTTTGGACCCTCCAATGTGCCCGAAGTTGAATAGTTCGAGATATATAGACCTCTGTTCTTGCTGGCGTCTTGTGTTGAGCTGCATGGAACTTTAAACAACCTAAAACGCCTCAGAACAATCAGTCCATCAGAAATTCCCAGAAGTATGCTGCAAGGTGACCCCATTAAAATCAACCTGCCCTGTTTTTCACAGCCCCTAACTGACCAAAAGATGTTCGGCTACTGGCATTTTGTGGCTCAATATATACAAATTTCTTCCACGACCATACTGGCCATACTTCAAAACAACAGCCAGCTTCCGTATCCAGAATTTTGCTCCTATTCGACCCTTGACATCTACTTAACAAGCCGCTGCCGACGAGTGACAATGGGCTTTTCCAACTTTCCAAGTCTGGGAAGGGACCGGTCAGCTGGCAACCGGAAGCTTCCTTGCAGCTTCTCAAAGGACTGGAATGAAAAATGATTCCGTGGGAGTTTCGATCAGAATATCTTCCGTAGCCTTCGGGAATCTAGCTTGGCTGGAATTGAAAATCCCCTAGTTATGCTTTCTCATCTATAGACAATGTATCTTTTAAACATATGGTTTTGTTCCCTTGCCATGTTTGATTTGTTTGATTAGCACAGGGTATACCAACGGGCCAATACAGCTTTCTTGACTTCAGCTTGCACACCCATATTTGGTACATATTGGTACCAAATGCTGCTGTTTTCCAGCAAACCATAAAGAGGGGTGAGGATAACCAGTATTTCTTTAGTTAGGATTCTTCGGGTAACAATTGAATTGATAAGGTCGAACAAGGTGAAAAACATGCAGTTTTCTTTTTGATGTGCTGCTTTGTTCATTCTGCATAGGTCGTGATTTCCGAACAACTGGCAGAGATCTAAATCATCCTAAATCAATCAATATCCACAGCCACTTGGAAATAATTCTGAAGTATGCTGTGGAATCAGTGGAAATCAATTTTGTTTTCCTGAATACTCACGGGCGCAATCAAATAACCTACAAATTGTCCGGTCTTTCCTCGCTACCATGGTGTCACATTGTTTTTGTGGGAAGTTTTGCCAAAAAAACACCAGATATTCACTGGTTGGTGGTTTCAACCCTCTGAAAAGTATGAATGTCAGTTGGGATGATTATTCCCAATATATGGAAAAATGTTCCAAACCACCAACCAGCCAGTTCAGTTTGAAGTTTGGATTGGATCTGACAAGGACCAGACTAGGGACGGAAATGCATCTACGAGGTGGTGCCCATGACAACTAGTTCGTTCTCCCCCCCTAATCGACACAAATTATTGGAGTTATGTTCACAAACTTTGAAATATGGGGCACCAGTCACCAGTTTGTAACTTCATCTAAGTTCATCTAACTATATCTAACTTCATCTAACTTGATCTAACTTCATCCAACTTCATCCAACTTCATCTAACTTCATCTAACTTCACTGCATGTCTTTTCATTCCAACCCAGTTCCCAATGTTAATGCCAGCTTCGATGGTATGCAAATGCCTGCAGAGTCCCACCAACCTGCAGCATTCCATAACTCCAAAAAAATCGGTTTCATGATGTTCACGGTAGATATCTCATGAATCATCATGATATATCATATATCATCATATATCTAGACTTAATGGTGATTATAAACCAACTATAAATGCTACATAATGCTTAATGGGTAAATCAACGAACTAAATGGCCTTTTTCAATAGCTATGTAACAAATTACCAGAGGGTAATCAACAAATATGGTGGTTTCCGTAAATGCTGGTACCCAAATAGCTGGATGGTTTTTGTCAGGGAAAATCCATCTAGAAATGGATGATTTTGGGGTACCCCTTTTTTAGGAACCCCCCATATATCTCTACTTAGTGGTGATTGTAAACCAACTTACAAGTGGGGAGGATTCCCCAAAGAGCCTCTGGTAATGGAACATGGAGCTTTAAAACTGGAAAACATTCGAGCTCAATGGGACTTTTTCCAGCCATGTTTGATGAAGGGTGGTCGAAAAAACCATGTACGGAAGAGGAACTAGATTATTTGTTTCCAATCTCTTCAGTCAGGTTTGGCAAATCTTAGCCAATGTGGTAAAACAATGCCACAAACCACCCATTTGGCAATGGTAACCATACCACCTATTTTTAGTGGTGATGACCCACCTATTTATTATAATTAATGGCATTGTTTTACCCACATTAATACAATGTTATTACTTTTTTCCAGTCTCAGGCATCCCATGGTGAACGGGAGAATGCTCCAGAGAATCTGCTATGACGCTTTCGGATGGGGTACCCTTTTTGACTCACCAAAGGCAACATTTTTTGAGGGGGATCAAAATGGGCCAATAAGAGTCAGATTTTGGTCAAAGAGCATCAATATCGAAACGATCGATGGCTCATGTTGGCCAACAAATGTATAAATACTGTATAAATAAACAAGCAAATTGCTAAACCATTTGTTGGGGGGTCACTAATTATGAGCCATCTCTACTTGTTAATGATTGAACAATAAAACTGTGGATCAACATCAAGGTTTCATCTCAATGACAAGCAAACCATCTGGCCGGCCCAGAAAAACATCCCTCCAACGAACATAACGACCCTTTTTTCTCGAGGGTTCGGTTGGAGGACTACTTTCCTACTTTAAAATATCTTTAAATGAACTATTCTCAGGGCCAAACTGTTGGTTGGATGCTTTTTTTTTTCTGCGGGGCATTCCAACTTTGAGACGTCCCCTTCGTTAACCCAAGATGTCCTTTGGAAAACACAAAATATGGAATTACCAAACCGTATGAATTGATTGTTCCCCACCAGCTTGGTTTGTATGCTCATTATGCTCCCTACGGTTGATTCTATCCCCATCATTGTTGGCCATATCCTTATTCATCATTAAAACGGGACAGAAAGTGTTATCATAGTGTTGTCAAACATTGATCATTACCACACCTCGCATATCCTAAAATTCCATGGTTGTATCCCCCAATTCGCATTTTTGTGCCTATCTGACCCACCAAAAAAACCTTGGGAATCTCAACATATCTCAACTTGTTCCAAGTCACTTCAAAAGGTCTGTGAGGTTACCATTCAAGGGAGATCCTCTGAAGTCCAACAACTTCAACGCAGGGAACACGCCCTGACGCGTGTTGTGTGAGACTTCTGCCCTTTTGGTGTCCCAAGGAACAGCGAACTAGTAACAGATGATGCAGGGATGACCTTGTTCTTTGCCTTCGTTTTTTGCAAATGGATATAAATGCATTTTAATGAAGGCAAAATGGATGCAAATTGATGTGTTTTACAGGTATAAATGGATGTGTTGGAACAGTTGATGCTTTCAG